TATATATATACACACACACACACACATATATATATATAAACAAACTGTGGATTCCAGTTTGTTTTTTGCACTAAAAACTTCATATAAATATATATATTTAATTTTTATATATTTATATATATATAAAATATGCACTTCCCATGAACTTTTAGAAGACCAATTCTATAGTGTAATAAACTTCCCTTTTGTTTTATTCTCTTCTAGTAAGTTGGTAGGAAGGGAACATTTTAAAATAGTAACATAAATTGACAGGTGGAAGTCACCATGCTCAAGTTGCAGATCCAATTTTGGATGTCATTAAGCTTTCTTTAAAAAAAAAAAAAGGAGATTGAGATGTTGAAAAATTCATTTAAAAGATATACTTGCAAAAAAAAAGTAAAACCATGTTTAAAATCTAAAAAGGTAGAAACTCTAAATAATTTGAAGTAGGTGTTTTTTTACTTACTTAAATAAGTATGCATGTATCCATACGTACCTCAAACCCAATTGGGCAGAATGTTAAAGCAGGGTGCCATCTGGGAACCAGATTCCTAAGAAACTACCTTACAGTATTGCCACAAAATCAATCGTCCTTTTGAAGCTTTAGAGAAAAGTTACTTGTTTGAAATATCATTTTGAGCCATTTTCATGATGGACTATGTTAATACTGAGTTTGCTTCCAATTATTGTTCCTTTCGCAACAGTCATATGTAAAAATAATATTATTGATTTCTGTACTCTCACTTTAATACATTTAAGGAAAGAAAACTCAGTGAATATCAACATTAAAAGTTATATTTGATTCTTAAAATAATTATATCCAAAATAATGATGGAGTGAGTCCGTAGCAGAAAATATTTTCTCCCTGTGACTATAAAATATTACATTGCTACCCTGAAATCATATTATGAACAGAATGGATCTGACGAAGTGCTAAAAAAACTGGATTGGAATGGCAAGGGGGTGGAAAGAAGAAACATGTTTACAATCTGCTCAAATTCTCAGCCTAAAAAAATTTTTATCATAAATTGGTTAAAGCAATGGTTTAAATGCAGAACTTGGTTTCTGAGTTAAATTCTGGACACATAAAATTTGAACCTTCAATGTTAAACCCTACCTCTTTCTTCCAACCTGAAGATCTCTCATATGGGACCTCTGGGCTACTTGGTTTCTTTCCACTGTGAGCAATTGCTCTTTGCCTGTTTTTTTTTTTTGTTGTTGTTGTTGTTGTTTTGGTTTGGTTTGGTTTTTTTTTTTTTTTTTTTTTTTGGTTTCTTTGAGGTTTTTTTCCCCCAGTTTTCTTTTTTTTTTTTTTTTATTGCCACAGGGCATGTACCCTTCCTGGAGAGAAGATGGAGAGAGACAGAGAGGGAAAGCGAGAAAGCATTCCCTCCCCACCCCCTCAGTGGGCACGACCATACTGGAATCCCTTCTCCTCCATTCTACCCTTGGGATTTGGGGCATGCATGCACACACATCTGGCCTGATTTTCAAACCATGTGGGAGTCCAGTGCCTTAACCCCCATGCCACCTGCTGGCCCTGCTCTGTGTTTGTCTTAATGAGCAGAGGCCAACACGAAGCCCAGACATTTGCCTCGCATTCTCCAAGATGCTGTGGAGTGCTGGTGTGCTCACTATGCCCGCTCTCCCAAAGGTCTTTTACGAATGGTGTGCACAGACAGCTCAGTGGGAGTAAGGTCACTTCTATAAATATTGCATTGCGTTTCTAAGTTTGGTGTGGGTATTTAGTAAATCAATAATAATGATAACATTGTTATTCATCAGTACAAAAGCTGAAGTTCAAAGCCTCTGGTTGAGGTAGACCTCAATCTACCATTCAAGGAGATTAAACCATAAGTTTACTTATTATCCTACTGGGAAGAAAAAAAGTAAAGAAGAAGCCTATCTATTAAGTCAGGAACAGCAAAATGAAAAGTATCCTCTGACTCATGAATATATGCAATCTACAAATAAGTAGAATAATTCAAACTACTACTTTACTTCCTGTAAAGTAATTCACCAAGAATGTTAGATCAGATTAATATGTATATTATGCAAATATAAAGAGTACTCTAGATGTGTTTGACTAATAAAAAGTTCTTATTGTTACTTAAATTATAAATCTCAACTTACTGGAACATGGTCCAGAAAAGAGTTGTATTTGAGGTCTGGAGCACTGAAATTATTCAACACCTTTTTAAACTAACTGCTGCTCCTCCCATCACTCATTCTCAACACACAACTCTCCCAGGATCTATGTGCCAACTATATATTTATCACTGCCATCCCATGACAAAAAGTACCTCACCTTTGCCAAATAGAGGACACCAACAGTCCTTTGTGGCTTGCTCTCAGTAAGTTATGTTTAAGTGTGCTTGCAACAAGGCCAACAACAGGTCTACCCACTGTTAGATGCAATCTGAGCGGTTTAGTTATGATGGAGCCTTTAAACAGTTTGCCACATTTTTGTTAAATCATACACAGATAAACAAAATAATCTCAAAGTACTCACCCATATTACCTCACTCTCAAATGATAATAAACCTTCCATTTGCATAGACAATAAATATACTAACATAGAAATGCATAAATTATATTTCTATAAACAGAGTTGCATTTTAGCTAAGTGTCAAAATTATTTCATACAGGATCCTTCCTTTTCACATGACTACTTTGTTGGCACAAAGAGAATAAGTAAGAAAGTCAATGTCTAAATTGGAATTTCTCAACCCCAACACCATTAATATGGGAACAGGAAAATTGTTGTGGGAGCTGTCCTATGCACTGAATGGCATTTAGCAACCCACCCCCCCACCCACCAAGCTGTGATAAGCAAAAGTGTCTCCAGACATGGCCAAATAGCTACCGAGGGTCAAAATTGCTCCCAGCTAGGAACCACTGACCTAACTGACACCAAGTCCTATAATCTACAATAATGATAGGATACGATTTTTGACCTATGCAAGTTTCCACATTAGGCAAGAACAAATACTAAAAACTAAGAAATGAATGCCTATTTAGTATTTAATTTCCTTTAAACCTGCTTCCTTTAATAAAAAATGCTATCTAATGGAACAAGAGCTTGGCCAATATTTTTAAAGAAGTCATTTGCCAGTTTCCTGGTGCCTCATTTGCTGGATTCCTCGTGTCTCATCTCCTGGCTCTGGAATTTCTCCTGCAGCAGACCCAGGGCCAACCCCTTGGGTCCAATGAGACAGAATGACCAGGGGAAAAGTTCTTAAGCAAAGCCAAGTTTTTCAGCCAGGCATTCTCGCTGTTGCTACTTTGGCACACCTTACTTTGATGGACTTGTGGTTTCTACTGAAACAAGTTGTTCTGCATACTTCATACTACAAGTTTAACTACGTGACCTCCCGGTTTCAGTTTGTCAGTAATTTAACTTCAGGCTGAGCCCACATGCTGATTTTTCTTAAACGTTCTGGACCTGTCTCATCAAACAGGCTCTAGGCAAGCTTGGTACACAATACTATTAGAATCAGGAGCCAATAAACAAGTCTCACCTCCTGCTAGCCTACTCAACCTAGGCTACAGAGTTTCAAAACAGCATCTGATTCTAGGGAAATACATTTACTCTTACAAAGCATGAATAACGTAGGAAAATGAAGAATTTCAAGTTCTAAAGTTCCTTTACCCATCAAATAGATCTTAGGAAAATGTGTTGATTAGGAAAAATAAAACGAATGCATCCAACTATCTGTTTTTCATGGAAATTAAACAGGACTTCACATACGGCAGAAGTAAACATTTCAGTTTGGAAACAAGACTTACAATTTCTCAACTCTCCTTTAATACATCAAAAGTACAGACGGACTCACCCCTGCCATGCAGGTATCATTGTTATGGGGTCTAGAAAAGCCTATTCAACAGAGTAAGCAGCAGATAGGTTCAAACTAGTTTGTTGATTGAAAAATATATAGTGTCAGACTTTTTAAAAGTCATCGATAACCTGTTTTCAGGTTGAACTGCCAGAAGACAATATATGCTATCTAAGATATTTATGTAGATGGTTATTTTTCTTTAGAAAAAAAAAACTGGCCATATTTAAGATTTTATGATCTATTTTTAAAAATAATTATCAGTGCTATTATGTGAGGATATAATCACATCACTTAAATCTTTGTTTAAACTAGTAGAAGCTGATATTTCTATTTCTATTATTTCTATAGATAGAATGGGATGTTTACTTTCACCCTGGGAAAAAAATGTTAATTAAGTCTAAGAGTCATGATGATAAGGAAGTAGTCATTATTACCAAATTGGTTTGCAGTCCATTTTTTTAGTAACACAAATCTATTACTGATTTCTTGGAAGGAAATCAGACTTATAGAGAAAACAATCTTGAAAAAGCTTGAAACCATATATTCACACAAGAACACCATTTTCCACCTGAAACCCAGCAGTATACCTGCATTCATGTTCTCACCCCCACTTCTGCCTTCTTGTCCATCTATTAGAAGAGTGGCAAACAGTGCACTTTTAATAAACAGCCACGACTAACAAGGCTACCGGTTCCAGGCACTGTTGCCTCGCAAAAACAAAGCAAAACAAAAACAAAAACAAAAAACTATTTTACCACCATCCTATTCTAATCTTTATGTTAACAAGTATGTCTTAATTTTAAGTGTAAAAAAACCTATTTTTAAAATAATTATTTTTACTCCACATGCCATAATAATTGCTAAATTCACTTTATAAATCATAAATACCCTCACCATTAACAGCCAAATACCACCATATTAGACAAGCATTAAAATATACACTACCATTTCATTCAGTACAGAAATTTACAGTAAGACCATGACATGGTATCAGTTACAGGCAGCTTCACATTCACAGTCTCTAAGCCATTTTTAAAAGAGTCTATTTTAGAATGAGAACAGAGGGAGACAAAGAGAGAACAATTTTTCAGTAACCATGAATTCTCCGCGATTCTCTTCACTTCAGTCAGAAGCCCTAAGTTTAAAAAAAAAAAAAAAATACAGCAAACTGGTGAAACTTACTTGACAGTGACTCGATTTGATAAATCCTGTAGATCCCCGGGATGGAAAAGCTGGGCTTCTTTCAATCCAATCTGTTCACAAGCTTTCAAAAAAACGTTTATATTATCCTGTGAAAAGAAGTGGAAAGTGATTGCTTAGCTGAGCTCTCTTCTCAGACAAAGGTTACAATTTTTTATGATATAACTTCGAAGCTTCAAAGTCCAATTATAGTCAGCAAAACAGGAGGCAGCAAGACCAACGCATACACATATTTGAAAAAAAATACCCAGGCTTGTACTGCCTTTCAGTCGTCCAGAGCATAAACGTAGTGCTATCGTATGCCTGGGCATATGCTGTCTCTGTGATCTTTGTGACTGGCACGTTAAACATTACCTGTTATAGGACAAGTGCCTAGCCACTGAGCAGTAATCTACACTTTGATGTCAGCTCGGCTCTGCAAATAAACGCCCTCTTCCCAGCTTCGCACGACAAGCTTTACCTCTCCTCTTTAAAAATAACTCCAGCTACTGACATTCACCCACCCAGAAACTGTTGGCAGGGAAGAAATAAGAGGAGGAACATTCTGTTTCTATGATTACAAATTACAGAACGACTGAGGAATACCACACCTGGAATCTGGGTTTGGTTGCTGAGCTGGCTCTTGACAGACAGGGAAACCACACTATAGGACCCAGGGGAAGTCGGGTGTTCACAACCATTGGCTGAATCACAGGGATTAGGTGTGGCACTTTACTCACTCCCTGCACCTGCCTCAAGAGCTGCCTCTGAAAGAGGAAAATCTATCCCCTACCCCCAAAGTTGTCCTCATATCTCATTTCAAACCCCAAATCCTCCATTCCTAAGCCAATGCTGTTCATTCAGGGAAACTGCTGCACGAACACATCTGCAGTATATTCTTATAGCCAGCCACATGTCAGACCCACACATTTGGTCACCAGAATTAGCTTGGGTTTCATCTTTACCATTCGTAAAAGGAAAACACCTGATGGGACTGAGTGTGTGACGATCTAGTGCAGGATCTTTACTTTCCCTTTGTTGAGGATCCCTAGTAAGGGAATGTCGTCTTAAACATGCCAACACATGTTCGTCCACTGAAGCAGGCTGCCACTACTACTCCCTCCGTGGTGTGAGCTGCCAAGTGCTTCCCTAAAACCTCACCTCCCTCTCCACAAATTGACTGGACAGACCAGAAGACACCCTGCCACTTGGAACAAGGCAGTTATTTTTTTTCCTACCTTGAAAAGCTCACCTCACAGGCAAGAACGTCAAGGTAGGATGGCAAAGTGGCAGGGAGGGATCAGGAAAAGAAGCAGAGATGAAGAGGGGAATGCAACAGCGTAGGTTCTTGGAGACTGAAGGGACTGGGGAAAGCACAAGAGAATGGGTGGCAAGAGAAAGGCGAAACTGATTACTAGTGGAAAAGGGTATTAAAAAGCCATTATTTATAGAGGCAGGAGGTTATTCCAGTATACTATCAGTTAAAGGCAATGTAGACTACCTAGCAAGAAACTGAAATCCATGAATCATTTTAAATAAGAAAACACCAAAGACTGAAGAAATGCTTAAGTCGGGACCAGCAGTTGGCGTAATGTCTATGTTACTGGACTCCCATGTAATGTCGACCACGGTTCAAGTGTCGGACCCGCTAGCTTAAACTCACGCCAGGCACGTGTGTGTGCATGCCCAAGATCCTTAAAGGAGAATGGAGGAGAAGGGATTGCGGCATGGCCATCCCCCCTGGGGGGTGATTTCTCACTTTCTGTCTCTCTGTCTCTCTCTGTCTTTATGGCAAGCGCATGGGCCCTATAGCAATCCCTTCTCCTCCATTCTCTCGGGATCTTGGGCACGCACGCACATGCGCCCTGCGTGAGTTTTAAGCCACCGCATCTGGGATGTGAACCATGGTTGACTACGTGGGAGTCCAGTGACATAGCCATTACGCTAACTGCTGGTCCCTCAAAATTCATTTTAAGTATTTGGAAAGAAGCTACTTAAAAATGGTTGAGAAACATTGGACACAAAGTTAAAAGGAAAATAAATAAAACTAAATTAATATAATTAAATTTTAGGCTTAAAGCTTTTATTTAAACCAAAAGCAAAATATCTTTTAAATAATTCTATGATGGTCAAGTTTAAAATGGAAAGAAAAAACTTGGGGTCAGCAGGCAGTGGGGTAGTTAAAGCACTGGACTCCCACATGGCCAGCCACAGTGGAGTCCCAGACCTGGTGGTTTGCTTTTTCACTCTACCCCCCTCACCCACTCCCTCCCTCTCTCTCTCTCTGTGTATGTGTGTGTGTGTCTCTCTCTCTCTCTGGTGAGCATACATCCTCTATAACAAATTTAAAAATAATAATAGTAATAAATATAATTAAATAAATAATTCATTAAAAAATAGAAAAAGAAAAACTTTGCAAGTGAAGTCACACATGGCCTAGTACAACAGGGCTGTACTAAGATCAGAATTACAACCTAGGGAATCAGCAGGTGGCATGGTGGTTGAGGCACTGGCCTCCCACATGCCTGACTACAGTTCAAGTCCTAGACCTGGCAGCTTTCTTTCTCACTTTCTCCTACCACCGCACCACCACTCCGGGTCTCTGCCTCTTACTCTCTGGTACAAGCATATATCCTATAGCAAATTTAAAAAATAATAATAATGATGATTAATAAAATTAAATAAACAATTCTTAAAAAAATAAAAATAATTACAACCTAAGTAAGTCATGCTTACTGGACTTGAGCCCACTGATAATTTATTTCTTTTTTTTTACAGTTTCGAAAGACTCAGGCAGAGAACTGCCTAAGGGGATATACAAAATTATAAAATAAAATTTTCATGTCTGTTGAAACATTAAGAAGCCACACCCAGCTTAGCATATTAAAAGGGAAGCATTTAGTCCTCATTTAATGGCATCATTTTGGCTTGAAACTAGCAAAAGTAAATAAGAGTAAAACAAAAAGACAAACTGAAAAAATCTTACCGAATTGAACTGGTAGCCAGGACTCCAAGTTAGCTTTGCCACCAACCAACTGTGGGAATTTGGAAAGATTAGTTCACCTTTCTGGCCCCGTTCTTCTCATTTGGGAAATGAGTAGTTTGTGGATCCATAACCCATTATCAAAAACAAACAATGCTTTCTATAAGGGGAGGGAAGTCCAATATTCCCTGGCCCAATCCATAACACAAATATTTCATAGCCCCATCTATATAAAATACTCCATTTCAGAAGCCTTCTCTAAATATCTGTAATCCCTACACTTTCAGGACCAAAGGTGACTTCACAAAAACAAACTGAAAAAGTGATGAGCCTCAAAGCTCCTTTTAAGTTTTTCTATGACTATAAAGAGACATCATATATTAAAAAATAAAAAAGAAATACATGGCTTAAGATTTCATATTCTCTCCAATCTCCTCTCTGTTCTTTATCCTTGAATCATTATAAAGCAGTCAGAACAGGTGTGGAGCAGAAGGGGCTGGCTCAATCAAAGACTAATGGTCACCAACAGCAGTACCGTACTTACTAACAAGTGAGGTAGGACAAAGAAGCCTCACAAGGCTGTGAAGAGTCTCTGGTGTGTCTTAGTTCACAGCTACCTAGCTGTTATCCAGTTATTCATCTTCTCTATTAGTTATCTTTTGTTGAATTACAAATTATCCCAGAAACCTAACAGCTTAAGATAACAGTTAGGATTTCACAGATCTGAAAGTCAGGAATTCGGGAGTGGCCTTTGCTAGAGGGTTCTGACTAGGGGGATCTCTCCTCAGGTTGTAGAGGAGTCACCCAGGACTACTGTCACCCAAATGCCTTCCTGGGCCTGGGAGAAGCTGTTTCCAAGGTGGTTTCCTCACACAGGGGGCAAATCGAGGCTGGATGTGGAGAAGCCACCTCAGGTCTTTACCAAATGGACATCTTTATGGCACTGCTTGTGAGAACCAGTGACCCAGGAGGAAACAAGATGGAAATTGCAATGTTTTATGACCTTGCCTCTGAAGTCACATTGCATAATTTCCTCAATATCCCACTGATTACACAGGTCAGCTGTATTCAACTTAGGAAGAGCCTAACTACTAGGGGGTGAGGGTCACTAGGTTGTTTCATAGGGGTGGTTACGCATAGTCCACTCCGATAATTCATGCCCACCTGTGAAAGAGGCTTACTCCCTCCTAGAGCCCACCCAATTTTTATCCCTTTCCAATGTAAGCTCAAAATCCAGAATCTCATCATCTAAGCCACAGCAAGGTGTGTATGAGGTTCCTCAGCTATAATTCCTTAAGTGCAGCCCTTAGTACAGTTGCTCTAACATGAATGCCAGTGAGCTGAAGAGACAGGTTACCTGCCCCAACACCTCAGGACACAGCAGTGGGACAGGTATATGACAATCATTGCGGACACTCCCGGGCAGTGTGGAGGAATGAAAGTCACACAAGAGTCATTGGTTCACGTAAATTCTGAAATTATGCAAAGCACAGGTTGGCAATTCACTCATCAGGACTGAAGACCAGGAAATAGTACTTCATTGTTCTTGGCTCTACTCTCTGGACACCCAATTTTACCCTAAACATAATCTTCCATTTTCCTTGAAAAGCAGTCTATGTTTGCAGCTATGTAGCTTTCTCAGTCTGCTTTCTACTCTATACATAGGAGTTTGGGGAAACTGAAGTTCAATATTAATTTTATAATACTCTATCTTTTTTATTGTAAGCTTATACAAGCTAAAAATACAAGTCTTCTAAAGATACTATAGATCTGCATATCTCACTGGGGTTCATTCTATTGGGACAAAAGTCACTAATGAGCCGCCTCTAGAGAAGCCCTCTCTACTTTGGTCTTCTGCTAGGATGAGTATAAGACAACTCCCTTAAGCTTCTTAGAAACCCTATTGCTGGACTAACCACATCTCCAAGGCACTACCTTGGATCTAAGAACTTAAAAGATTTTATAACCACACCCTAAACATCCTTAGACCTTATTTTCCTGCCAATGTTCTGAATTTAATCTATGCCTAAAAGTCATTTCTCAATCCTAGCATCATTAACTAACTAAAGAGGATAATGATTTTCAAAACCAGAAATTCCTGTATCCCTAATGTTTATCACTTTCTCC